GCCATAGCTCTCACTCAAAAGATGACGCCCCCCCTCCATGGGCGGATGTGTTATGTTTGTACGTACCAATCCAAACTCCTTGTATATCGGCTTGGCACTTTTCTTATTGTGCTTCGACAGGGTCCGGTCGTTAAATGGATCATATGTGCATTTGATGCCTTTCGTGGTTCGAGAAAGATCTCGCGCAGGAGTGCGCTCAATGGGTGAGGGCTCCGGAAGCGAGCCGTTCAGGCGGGATAATGGGGTATTGCGGGAGGCCGATGCCTCATCCCGATCGATGGTTTGTGCGTGGACCATGTTCGTCTTCGGCAGGCCAGCATTTCCCGAGTATGAAGGTGATTCTATTGAGGTGAGCGGCGTGCCGCTGGTGGTGGGTATATGAGATGAGCCGTTCGGGGCGGCCTGTCGCGCAGAGGTGCTGAAGACGGAGGAAGAGCCAGTGCTCGCGTAAGAGCTCGCAGATCCAACGGCGTTGAGTGTATCTCCTAAAGGCGACTCATGGCCATCGGCCGGCTGTTGAGAGGAGTCGGAGAGTAGGCCATCAGTACCAGATGGCGCTCGGGCGCTTGTGCCGTTGAGCGAAGCGGTAGCACCACTTTTCTGGCCAACAAGCAGGCCACTGGCAGCAAGAGTATCTTGTGTCTTGGCCTTGGCCTTTTCTCTCTCGGTGGCCCTGTCCCTGGCTGCACGTGGTGCGGCAGGAAAGAATTGCGCGAAGCTCGCCGACGGTTGGCGGGTCATCGTGAGGTGTATCTGTCTCTACCACTCCCGCCTGCGACCGACCATCGTCTCTTGCGTGTCGGCTGCTTCAGAGGGCAGAGGGCATCGCTGGAGACAACAGCGGCAGGAGCGTGGCGGGAGACAGATGCGCGATGTTGAGGTTCACGCGACCGAGGAGGAGTCGACACCGACACGGGCGGTTGGCGGCTGGCGGGCTAGCAAGGGGGGCAATAGCCCAACTGCGTCGTCCAAGGATGGAGATACCCAGTCGCGAATGGTTCGGCTTCGACGCAGTCAATCTGCGAAGGTCGTAGATGGAAGCGGTGTGCCGTGCGATGCGATCGACGAAAGGCGAGGGCGGAAAAAAAAAATAGAGCAGTGAGGTCAGAAGTTGGAGGTTGAAGAGTGTCCAAACTCTTTCAGGGATGCGATTTAGCGGAGACCAGCACGGAACAAGGCGAGGGAGAGCACCGTTGCAGCATGGGTATCCGTAAATTGCTTTGGTTCAGGCACCTCTGGCGGGTGGTAGAGTCAAGGTACTGCTCACCGCATTCCTGTTGCCAGGTACACTCGAATACCTCCAAGTGGACTGGTGGACACTGGTTGGCAGCTGGCACGTGACAAAATTCGGGTCCCGACGCGTAGAACCTTTTGCGCGTTTCTCACCAAAAATACAGGGGTGTCAAAGAAGCTACCCCGTCACTTTGGCGTCATGAGCCAATGAGAGAATTCGGCTTAATTGTTCAAGATAATTCCCAAGACTATCATTGTTTACTGCTCAACAGTCTACCAATTCGTGTGAGCCCCCAAGTAGCTAACTGGAATCAACCAATACATTCCGGTAAGGTAGAGCCAAACTGGCCAGCAACTAAAATAGAAGCAGCTAAGACTTCGCGTCCAAAGGACATGGGCCCTCTTTCGTCTGCCACCTCCCTGCAGCAAAGCCATTCATGGGTTTGACAAAGTAAATACATTCATACAAGCCTTGGCTGCCTGCCATTCGGCCTCTTCAGTCTTTCCTGTAGTCGTGATATTGTAGGCTCACGATGCCATCCAAACGCCTTCTAGTCCGTAACCATTCCATAAAGTTTTACAAGTGAGGGTAATCCTGTCCAAACGCCAACCAATAGACCAGTGTCTACAAGTTCAAGTTCATCTCGAACTCATCATCTTCAAAGTCCTCGTTCTTGGGACCAGCATTTCCGAGGACATCGTTCTCGTCGTCTCCGGCCGGATCAAAGATGGAGAGGAACTGGAGGCGGCCAAGTTCCTCAGCGTCCTCGGCGTGTCCGTCCGGCTTCCTTGGGGATGCCTCACGTCGGACGACAGTCTTCCGGGGAACAACTGTGGAGACATCCATTGACGCAGGTCGCGCTCCTGCGGCAGGCCTGGCTCGTCCACTGACGAAGGACGAGGCCGAACGACCCTTGTTGTAGCCAATGGTGCTTCTGGAGGCCGCTTCGCCAACAGCACTCTCTGCGTTGGAGGACTTGGAGGCCAGAGCTGCTCTGGCAGGCCTAGTGCGGGGAAGAATAGACGAGAGGGGTCTTCTGGCCGTGGCGGTGGGCTCAACGGGCTTCCTCTGCTTGATGGTAGAGCCGGTGGCCATCGACAAAGCGGATGCAGCCCTTCGAGAGGCGATGGTAGGAGGGTACTTGCCTCCCACAGTCTTCTTTGCAACGGCTGCATTGGGGGCAGGGGCGGGAGCCTTCCTCCGGCCAAAAGCTACCGTCTCAGGGACGTCAGCAACGGACCAGTCCATCTCTTGGATGTCCCGGAGAATACGGTCGTCGGTCTCCTTCAGGGCCTTCTTGAGCTTCTGTTGCTGCTGTCTGTCCTGAAGTCTGACACCGTCCTCGCCCATGGGGTTGTAGAAGTGGTTGTAGTAGCCCTTGAGCAAGTTCTCTGGCTTCAGCCCCTCGAAAGTCAAGTCTCCCTCAATAATGTCAGACTGGTAGGGCAAGTCTTTGGCCGGGGGCGGCGCATATTCCACGTCAGGCTCATCCGCAGGGCCAGCTTGGTCGTTTCGCACCTCGAGCTTGAGGGGAGCAGCGCCGGGAGACCGCTGCTTCAGCTTCTTGGTGGTCGTGGGCTTCGTCTGGGTCTTCTCAAAGTCCTTGACAATGTCCTTCACTCCGGTGTTCTGGGTGCTCTTTGCCTTTGCGTTGGTGGTTTTGTTTCCAAGTGGCGCCCGAGCACGTGTCTCTGCCAAAAAATCAGTCTCTTTCTTTTCCTAAGACAGTCATCTCAGAGGCATACCGGAGGGAGTGACGAGGTTCTGCTTCTTGGCGGTGCCCTGAATAGCTCCGTTCGCATTGGACCTGGGTGCAAGCACCGACTTGCCGGCGTTCACGGCATTCTCATCATTGAGGGGAATCTTCAAAGGCGTCTTCGGGTATCGGGCTCCAGGGGTCTTAGGAGCCATTTGGCTCTTTCCGGGGGCAAGTCGAGCAGCCTGGGCCGCGTTGACGGCGTTCTCGTCTCGGATCGACAACATTGTCCCTAGAGCCAGATGGCGGAGTTGTCGATAGTTGGATGTGTTCGTGGTTTCGCTGCGGTGGTGAGTGTTGTCGTCGTGCGCCGTGTATCGCGGTATTGTCATCACCTGTCTTGTCGTTCGTTCGAGACTATTGCGTCGTCAAGAGGCGAATGGGGGGGCTAAACGGATTTGTCTGCTTGGTGGCGTTGACCGGGAAACGAAGCGCAGAAGCTCAGACCTAGCGTCCACGCCATGAATGAGAGTGTCCAGTGCTCTCGGCTCTCACAATGGAATGAATGCCACCGCCGCACCGCGACCTGCACCGTGCCACAGAACCCCACTCCACCTGACCCGACCCCACCGCCCGTGCCAGAGCTAATCCAATTGCAGCTGCCTTTGAGCGTGTGAAGATCAGGCCTGGCTGTCCACTCAGCAGGAATTGCTTGCCCCTGGCACCGGCGCTGGCTGGGGCTGCTGGCACGCTGAGGGTGGTCCGCCACGGGTCGCAGCTGGAGCGAACTTGCATGTAGAGGGGCAGTTATTTCAACACCTCACACCCTTTCCTCCCGCTTCCATCCCCCGACAGTTGCGATTCAACGTTCCCCGATCACGTCTCATTCCCAACTACAACAAACTGCTTATCGCATTCTTCTTGCACCGAACTCAACCTCCCTCAAACACCACAAAGTCTTTCGCAGCTCAACACCATCACCATGGATCGCATCAAGGAGGTAAGTCTTCCCCTCACGTCCGAGCCCCACCATGCTGCCACCGGCGGTCTGGAGGGGTAAGATGTCGCCTCCCGAAAACTGTCGTGAGATCATTGCTGACGACGTCTCTCTTTGCCTCTCAACAGAAGATGAACTCCCTCCGTCTGGAGGCCGACGAGTCTGCCGCCAAGGTTGAGGAGCTCCAGGCCAGAGTCAAGACGCTCGAGCAGGAGAACCTGGCCAAGGAACAGGAGATCACCTCCCTTCAGCACAAGAACGGCCTGCTTGAGGGCGAGGTCGAGAAGCTTGAGACTGCAGTTAAGGACTTCAAGAAGGCTGCCGACGAGAGCGCTGGTACTGGCACACAAAACGAGACTCTTCAGCGAAGACTCCAGCTCCTCGAGGAGGAGGCCGAGGAGGCGGACAAGACCCTTCGCGAAGCCAACGAGAAGTACGTTCTGGACCCTGTCATCGAACCGTCCAAATATTTCCCCCCCCTTTTCCCTAGTCTTCAACCACCCCCCGACCGACCCCCCTTTCGTGTTCATTAAAACCCGCCCCACCGATGAATCTCGTTACTTACACCGTCTTTTTCCACAGGCTCCGACAAACCGACGTCAAGGCCGGCCACTTCGAGCGCAAGGTCCAGGCTCTCGAGTCGGAGCGCGACCAGTGGGAGTCCAAGTACGAGGAGATGTCCAAGAAGTACACCCAAGTCCAGAAGGAGCTCGAGGACTTCCAGAACGAGATTGGCAACATCTAAGCCTGTGTCTCTCACGGGGGAGTCAATTCGTGCAAGGCTTTTTCGTTGTGATAGATTTCTGGCCTGGAACACCTCGCTTGGGGGACCTGAGCAAGCGATCCCGATAGCGGTGGATTGCAAGTGACGGGACGTTTTGCGACCAAGTTATAGCAGCCTTGTTTTTACTCCTTTTTTTGTAACCCCCGTCAACAAGAGTCCTGTTCTGCCTGAAATGCCTCGGTCTATGAAATTCTCGAGGAGAAAACACAAGCATCTCGTCGAACCACGCTGGGCGTGTGAGGTATCTTATTGGCAGCTTCTGAACCACAAATCCGAGTTTATACCCTCCTTATTTCTTGAACTTGGCCTTCTTCTTGGCCTTCAGCTTCCTGTCGCCAACTTGTCTCTCCAGCTTTGACTCGTAGCGGAACTTGGGCTTCTTTGGCCTGTCCTTAAACGTCTTCTTCTTCGCCGCCGGCTTGTCCGCTGCAGGATTTTCTGTCTTGTCCTTGTTTTCGTCATTCGCTTCCTCGTCGCTGTCTTGGTTGAGCTTCTCGAGACCGTCTCGTGTGACGGCGATGGCCTCAACCTTGACCGTGGTATACCGATCTTCGTCTATGTACTCGTCTTCGTAGTCCACGATGTCTGTCTGCGCCGCTTGCTCCTTGCCCTGGTCTTCAATGCCGTCCCACTCTTCAAAGTCTGAAATTTCCTGGTCGTTGTCTGAGTCCGCGGCCTGCGCCTCTTGGAGCAGTGCGTTGACGGCCTTGACATGCTCCTCGACTTCCTTTTGCCGTTCTTGCTTTACCTGTGATTGCCTCGTATTAGCGACATTCCCTGAAACGAGGCAACCATGACCAAGACAGATCCTTACCTGTTTTCTCATCTCGATCTTCTCCTCCCTCGCTTTCTTGGCCGCCTGCTCCTGCGCAAACTTTACGCGCTGCAGCTTGCGCTTGTGAAAACCGGTCAAGTAATCCTGCCGCGCATCGAAATCGAAGTTGACCTCCTCGACCGCGGACTCGGCCTTGCGCTTCTTGGGCGGCGGCGGCAGCGCGGACTTTTTCGGTCGGGGTCTGGCGAACATGGTTGGTTTGTGGTGGTGGTGTTGCTGTTTCTGAAATCGGGGTTTGCAGTCGCGGATTCGTTCGTGGTGGTGGTCTTGGACCTTGGACTGAAATTTTTAGAGCGGCGAACTTGCAGCCTTGCAGGTGCCCGGGCTGGGGGCTGGGGGAGGGACCCTGCCGCTGCGGCCTCTGTAGGGTCCACTGATGCGGGCCAAGCCGAGGAGCTAAATGCGCTGGAGGGACCTCGCTCGACCTGCATCTGTCAGTGAGACCAGGTGACATCGGCATTGGTTTACTGGATTCTGCCCCTGTCGGAAGTCTTTCAGCGTTGGCCGATGTAAGGCAACCGTTTGCCTGTACAAGCTGGGAAACGGATCAAGCTATCAATGGCAATCTTATTGTTTCAATTCATACCGTATCATTCCGTGTCCAGACCAAAGAACTAATAGCAAGACGGACAGTTGTACTTTATTCCTGAATGTATTGAGCCTTTCGTTAAGGAACTTCGATCAGATTTGAAGTATCCTTCGTACTTCATTTTTGTACAGCTCAACTCACCAAGACGGTGTCATACAATTTGATCGTGAAGGAATGCTATTGAGCTCTACCTTGGTCTTCTGTTTATGCAATCACCTGCTGCACCCACTCATGTCTTGCGACCACCCTCACAACAACCAGGAAGCTCAGATATCTATCTAGGCTACATCTCTATGTTGAAAGGGAATTTGCCCCTGACGAGGCCATATCTAGAAGTACAGAGAAGTAAACAAACCGCTTCGAGAACAAAACAACATATTTATCGAGACAAAGAAAGAACGAAACAAAGACACAATGATAGATGCATGTAGCCGACTCTACAGATGTATCATAGTATAACCAGATATGCATCTATCAGATGGATGCGGATCATGGTTACGTAAGGCTCAACCGTTCGAAGCTCAGGTAAGGTACCTTGGCCATGCGTCGTCCTGCAGCCAGCGTACGTCCAGCAGCACTACGAAGACATCGCATCGAAGACCAGGCTCATCTTCGAACAGCAATCCCCCAAACAGCCAGCCATGCGTCTTTCAAGAACAGCAGGCCTGATGGCCTTCTGCGCCACGGCGCAAGCCTTCACCGACACCTCTCCCTTCGTCATGCTCTCGACCGCAGAGTACGTCCCCGAACAACATCCGCCCCTCGACTCGACATCATGCTAACCCATCGATCTCTCCAGCTTCGCGAAGTCCGCCTCCAACGCCGCTCAGCTCCAGACTGAGTCCCAGGTTCTCAAGTCCGTTCAGGACCTCCTCTCCTCCTGCCCGACCGACCGCTACCTCGTCGTCTCCCAGCCAAACGCCAACGCGGCTGACATTCGCGACCCTGACGGCGGCGACTGCCGCTCCCCCAACCTCTGCCGCGCAATCTCTTCCAAGGATATCCGCGGCGTTTACAGCATCGCAGAGGTCGTAGGCGAGGTCAAGGTCGACAGCGTCGCCGAGTACCTCCACAAGGCGTGTGGCAGCAAGAAGATCGAGATCGACCAGACGAGGCTCGCGCCCCTTGGCCGCGACGCCAGCGAGAGAGCCTCCACGCTCGCCGACAACGACCACGTCCTCGGCCAGAGCCTCGAGAAGTTGCGCGAGGCCTCCGACTCGTACACCGTCATCTACCTCGCCAGCCCATCTGAGCCAACCTACCAGGCCGAGTTCCCCGAGGAGCCCCTTCACGCCGAGCTGAAGCGTCACGAGGCCAGCCTGTTGCAGGTCCGCAAGGACAAGAACGAGACCAAGTGGGAGAAGCTGCCCCTGTTTGAGAAATACGTCTTCTTCTCTCCTGGTATGTCTCGTCGTTGCATTTGGTGGACTCAAGGAATGCTAATGTATATGCAGGCATCTTCCACGCCCTGGTGGCAGCCATCGTCCTCTTCTCCATTCTCGGCGTTGGCATCAACGCCCTCGCCAGTCTCGACATCCCCTACGGATCTTTCGAGAAGGAGATGGGTCCCGCCGCTCAGAAGAAGAACATCTAGATGTACACCACCCACGCACGATCGGCAACCTCCAACGTTTTTACGGCGCTCGTATCGCGGCATGTATTTTCTTTTTGACATCATGGGAGTTTACTCGGTAGGCATGTTTAAAGCAAGGGGAAGGGACGTCACAGGTCCACAGCTGGATCGAACCGAAATGATTAGAGCAATGGCTGTCGGGGTTCGTTAGTGAGTGACCTCGTCGTTGTTCCGCGAATGGCGTGAATGTATTCTATAAAATGGACTTTTTTCTTGTTCTCCCTGCAGCCGCCTCCCAAGTTTTCATGATGTGAAACTCCGTAAACGCCTGTTGGCCGTATCTAGTCCGCGGCCACCGCAATCATGGGTCTTCAAAACGTTCCTCCCCCGTTCCGTCATGCCGCGAAGCCAAAGTGACTCATTCAACGTCCTTCGCCCTCATCTTCCTTGCCGTTCATCATGCAATACGCTTAGACAAGGTGGCTAGGCAACAAGAAGTTGGCGATACCTTCGCGGATGGCGTACTCGTGCCCACAGTTGCCGCAGACCAGCTTGCCCTCCATGATCTGCGTCTCCATGAGCAGGTGGTGCAGGTCCTTGAGCATCTTCTCGTCGCCCTGGAGCTGCTCAGCTGAGGGGGGCTCAGCAGGAAGTTCGGGGAAGCCCAGCTGTGAGTAGTGGTCAGCGCCTTGCTCATTCATTCAATCATATATGAGATTTTTTCAGCAGTGTCCGAAACGGTCGTCGCCGGCGTGTGTGCTCAGGCAACCCTGGTACCATGGTGTGACTGACGAGATGAAAAAAACAGAACAGACGGGACAAAATCTGTCTACTTTGGGGCCCAGATGTAAATGCACAAGAGTAAAGAACAATATATGAACTCACCTCGGTCGCATTCGTTCGCAGCGCGGCCCAGTCTAAGCGGGGCAGGACGTTGAGTAGCAGCTGGGGGTTGACCTCGATGTCGTCTTCCACCAGCTCTGCGTCCTTGGGGTGGAGGGGAAACGAGGCCGCCGAGACCTTGCAGGCCTTGGCCGCGCAAGTCAAGAAGTTGAGACTGAGAAGCTTCATTTTGGGCGGGTGCAGGAGTGACTTTTGCAGCGAAATCTTGTCTGCTTCTCGTTGCGCTTGTCTGAGTCGAAGTTTTAGGCACGGGAAATTTTTGGGCGACCCCACACGTGATGCACTTTCGCATGTGGGCGTCCCAGCTATTGGACTGATCTCATGGAGAACTTAAAGCCAATCTCAAACTACAATTCAACGTCACACATGCACTCAGTACAAAAATATGCCTGGCTGTTCTGCTCTTCTTGTTGGACAGTTTTGGTCTTGATTTCTTTGCTTATCGTGGAAACTGCCGCGTATTCCTCCACTATCATCTAAGCCATCGTCTTCTCGTAGCCGACATCCTCCTTCGCGGCTCTGTTCTTGCTGACCTTCATGTAGACAGCGATGAGAGCAACAACGACGCCAAGGAAGAAAGCCTTCTGGAGGAGGGACCAGCCCTCGCCGGAACCGACCTCCAAGGGGGCATCTTCGTTGGAGTAACCTGAAGCAAACTCGCTATGGCCGTATTCGCCTGCAGCGCCAGGGGCGTAGCCATCAGCACATCAACACTCTTGGATTTGTTTTTGGATTCTTGTCGGGAGGAATGAACGACTGCGGGGACATCGATGGTGTGTGTACATGTCTCGTGTGTAACATGCGTGAAAGTGAGGGCGACGGGAGTCACAGTACGTGCTCAGAGTTCCACGTGGATACCTTCAGGGGGAACCTCCAGCTCTCCGCTCTTGGCAATCTTGATAGTCTTGACGGGGCGGTCGCCAGGCTGGGTCTCAGCCTGCTCGATCTTCTCGACGATGTCGTAGCCCTCGAGGACCTCGCCGAAGACGACGTGGCGGCCATCGAGCCAACTGTGAACGCCGGGGTTAGCTTGGGTTTCTCGATTTTGGTCAGGAGGGTGGCTCACGAGGTAATGACGGTGGTGATGAAGAACTGGGAGCCGTTGGTGTCCTTGCCGGCGTTGGCCATGGACAGGAGACCCTTCTTGGAGTGCTTGAGCTTGAAGTTCTCGTCGGCGAACTTCTCGCCGTAGACTGCGTCGTTGTTAGCCGGTAGCCAAGAGCATTCCCCAGTGGTGCTACTCACTGGACTTGCCACCGGTGCCGTCGCCCTTGGTGAAGTCACCACCCTGGATCATGAACTGCTTGATAACGCGGTGGAAAGTAGATCCCTCGTAGCCGAAGCCCTTCTCGCCGGTGGCGAGAGCGCGGAAGTTCTCAGCGGTCTTGGGGACGGTCTTGCCGTACAGACCCATGACGACGCGGCCAAGGGGCTCATCGCCGTGGGTGATGTCGAAGTAGACCTTGTGGGTGATCTTGGGGCCCTTGCCGGCCTCGGCCGTCTGGGCAAAGAAAGCCAGCGCCACGCCGGCGAGCAGGAGGGCGGAGACGAGTCTCCGAAGGTTGAACATGGTGGGCGATACGATCCGGGGTAGCTGGACACCAGGTCGATCAATTGGGGTTGAGGAAGTTGATGCGGGATGTCTTCTGGGATGGGAACCAGAGGACAGGTTTGTGTTTAAGTAGGTCAGTAAGAAGAAGCACACCCCGGGAGACGGAGACTGGGAAGGGCGGCTTTGAAGCTACGTTTCAAACTCCCCTCTCTGAAGCACCGAATGAGGAACTCGAGCTCGGACCCTGGTGGCCGAGACTGCCCAATGGGGAGACGCAATCCGTCCAAGTGGATGCGCCTCTCTTGAGAACTCAAGGGTCTGGCGGATCTGTCAATGCAGCCACACTGCCCGCTCAAGGCCGCCGCTCTTGGGATCCACTATTTTCCGGCGCCGACTCTCCGTGCAACGTTGATGATTTCGAAAGTTCGTGATTCGGTCGCCAGTCCAAAGAGGCAATTTTGATGGTGCAGCAGCAGTTCTTGAAATCCACAGCGACAAACCGGCAAAATGGTATGACTTGCATTTTTTGACGCTCTCTATTAGCTTGACACTAACTTGGTCTGCAGGTTTTCATTCTGGGTGTCAACTTTTCTGAGCAGAAGCTCGTCAAGGTAAGGCCTCTCCTTCGACCGATGCAAACCACACCCATGCTGCGACAATGCTGATGCGCCTCGCCTCTACAGAAAGCTCTTCAGTCCTTCTACGCTCTCGGACCGACCACATCAGAACGCATTCTCGCCAAGTACTCGATCCACCCGCTCGCAAAAGTCGGCTCCCTCGCCCCCAGAACAGTCACGGCCCTTACGGCAGAACTGTCAACGATGACGATAGAAACCGACGCGCGCAAGATTATTAGGGAAAACATTGGAAGACTAAAGGACATGGGTTCCTACCGCGGAAGACGACACGCTATGGGTCTGCCCACGAGAGGACAGCGCACAAGAACCCAGATCGAGACGGCGAAGAAGCTGAACCGCGCTAAGAGATCGTTTTAAGAGACCTTGAGGGCAGGCACGAGACGGGGATTTTGATGGCAAAAATGGTTTGGAGTTTACGAGATGGGCCGCCGACACATGAGACCATCGGGTGTACAAGATAGACACGAGAGCGCAACCGCGCCCGGAACTGTATGAATATGAACAACTATACCACTTGTACTATGTATGGCACGGGGACGTCCATGCTGTCTGAGACGACGAAAGCTATTATACACATATGCAAGCTCGGATTCGGTGTTTACTCGAACTCCAGCTTCGGCAGGTCATCCTCCAGAACGGGTGCGCCCTCCTTCTGGAGCTTAGCGGCGACAACTTCAGCGTCCTTCCAGACGCGAAGGATGTTGCCGCCGACAACCTTGGCCGCGTCTTCGTCGCTAAGCCCCTCCTGGAGGAGCGCGGCAACAAGGTCGGGATATCTGGAAACGTCCTCCAAGCCCTTGGGGACGGAACCAATGCCGTCAAAATCAGACCCGAATCCAACGTGGTCGAAACCGATGAGGTTGCCAATGTGAAGAACATGTCTCACAACCTGATGCAGCGTCACATTGGCAGGGTACAACTCGGGAACACCGTTCTCCCTCCCAGTGTCGAGGCAGGAGATGAAGTCGGGAGCGAAGTTGACCATCACGATTCCGTTGTTCTCCTTAACCAACTTGAGCACGTCATCCTTGACGTTGCGCGGGTGAGGGCAGACGCTGAAGGCGGAGCTGTGAGAGTACATGATGGGAGCCTTGCTTCCCTCCCATCCCTTGCCACCAAGAACGTCGCGCTGGGTATCTTCGCTGGTTCATGATAAGGTTAGTCAGACCTCAGCTTGTCATGTGGAGGCACGTACCTGGTGTGCGAGAGATCGACAAGCAGACCAATGCGGTTCATCTCGTGGATGACCTGGCGACCCAAGGGGCTCAGACCGTTCCAAAGGGGCTCTGCCTTGCGGAAGGGACTTTCGAGGAGCGCGGCATCAGCAAATTTGTTATGACAGTTGTGCGTGAGGGTTGAGTAGCGGACGCCCAAAGCGTGGTATCGGCGAAGGTTGGTGACGCGGTTACCAATCTGATGGAGACCCTCAACTCCAAGAGGAGAGATCAGCTGGCCCTTTGCGAAAGCCGCCAATGCCTCGTCGCTGTCAAGATTAGGTGAGAAGTCCTTGGGGTAGGCTTCCTTGATACGGGTCATGACGTCAATTTGGTCAAGAGTCCATTGGACGCCTATGATGACGCGTTAGAGACCGCTTGAATGAACCACAGTTGGGAGACTTACTCTCGGCGTAATTTCCGTCAGAGAAGTTACTGCCGTTGGCCGGGCAGGGAGTGTACACGCTCCAGAAGGCACCGCCGTTCTGGCCCTTACGAAGTCTAGGAAGATCCACATGTGCAACCATGCCGCCGTTCTCAAAGGGCTCGGTGAAATTCTTGTCGTAAATATGGTTGCCATACACTGCTCGCACAAGAATGGGAAGATCGTTGTGTCCATCTAAGTCCAACGTCAATAGGCACTCAATGACACCGGACGACCTGTCCGCTTACCAATCAGTGGGTTGTGGTTGAGGATATTTTGAGCCCTCTCCTCAACCGTAAGAGGCGGTCCCCAAGGCTTCCTAGATTGATGGCCACACGACTTCATCTTTTGGCCTAGAAGCATGTAAGAAACGAGGAGCAGCAAGACTCCGCTCACAGCGAGCTTCTTCGCGGGGGAGGGGCCTCGGCGGGCTGGCCCGGGGGCCTCCTCATCGAAGACACGATGCTTTTCATCCATGATTGAATTGAACCGTGCGAAAGGTGATCAGTTGAGCCCCAAGATCTCGCTGTATTGTATGGTTTGAAGTGCCTTCGATGAGAGTTCGTAATCAGCGGTTGCTTTGCTTTGTCCCGATAGATAAGAAATGAGCCGTTTTATCTTAGTCAGATATGGAAGTCCAACTCTTCCGCCAATCCTGTCAGGAGGGACTTTGGATCGCCAAGGTTCGCAGAAGAGACCAAGATGCTGCGTTTGTTGCGCAGACCCAGCTGGAGTCGATGCTTGGTCGATGATTCCTAATCACGCAAGAGGGAGCTGGGCCGGGGTCCTAGCTCCCAGAGCGATTGCGTTATCTGAGGTGCGAGCTCAGCCACAATGGTTCATCGGCCTTTGAAACACCCCTGTAAATTTGGAACTTGAACCCTGGAACTATCACAGCAGTTGTTTGATTCCGATGATAGATATTCGATCATTGTCATTATGGACATCAAGACTCAGTGTCGAAGTCAACCAGATTGTGCGACCAAGTCGTGGTACTAATGGAGTGTGACCAATCACAATGCGCGAATTGTATCCAGCCAACCCAAAGGCACAGCTGAGACAACTGTAAGTCAAATATCGCATGTCTCTGCTGCCTTCTCTCACACTCTCCGGCTTGCTTTCTGTCTAGTTTTTTTCGGATGATTCTCTTACTTGTCGCGCGATGTGCCTGCTGTCTAGCCTTCTTGTCCTCTACTTTACACCCTAAGCGATAAACACCCGGGATAGGCGCGGGAAGACTAGGGAGAACAGCAGTAGAGAGAGCCAGGAAACGGGTGAACAGCAACAGGCCAGTAAATTAGTAGACAGACACACAGACAAGTGCCGTTGTGTATCTCAATAACTTTAATTATAGACCATCATAGGAACAGTAGGTGCACCAGCAGCCCTTGTACAAGAAGACAGAAAAAGAAGGCCCAGTAGAGTACTGGCCACTCAAAATCGGAGCGATCAATCCATCTCATGAGCCCCATTCCGCCCCGTACTCATCCACGATCTGCTGGCAGTAATTATTCCACTGCGCATTCCACTCGCGAATGCGAGCGCCCTTCACACTTGGTGCATCGGAACCAAGTGTAATACCCAGCTCCCAGTCCTTGTCATTCTGGTCCTCAAAGTTGGACCATCGGAGACTGTTCTGCGCCAGTGCGCCCTGTTATGGCGTGTCAGAATGGCCCGTCGGCATACACAAAGAGGGTGGGAGGAGCTTCATACCAGTCCAGCAAGTCCAACATTGTCAAAACCCTGTATGACTTGGTAGAAATCAAAACTCAGGCCGGCTGAGTCTTGGCCCAGCATCGCTGGATCATCATTGCTGATGGCCGTGGGGACGCCATGCGCAATCATGGCCGGGAGAGGATGGTGGAGAATATCCGTCGCCAGCCGAAGGACCTCGTTCGAGATGGGGCACACCTCGACCATGACGTGCTTCTTGACGGCTTGATCAATCAGCATTGGATGTTTATATAACGAGAAACCGTGGCCGATTCTCCGTGTGCCCAGAAGAAGAGCATCAAATAGGTTGTCGTCAGTCGAATTTCCATCTCCGAGGGTTTCGCCTGCATGGAAGAAGAACGGCAGTGTGACATCATGTCTCCTGGCCTCTTCTTGAAACCAAAGCAGCTCCGGGGCCATGTCCAACAAGGTGCGTCCCAGATCCTCTTGAGCAACGACGTCGTATCCGCTGAACAAGAGAGGGAACTCCTTTTTCATGGCAAACAGATCGGTCATGCCTGCGACTCGGGAGTCAGTCTTTGACATCTCGACAACTGGAAATATGGTTGAACGATTCACTCACTCTCTTTCAGCTTAGTTTGCGTCTTGCTTCGCGAGTCGGACCAGATGACACGGGCTCCATGGAAGGGATGCGTCGTGTTTTCGGTTCGAGTGCTGGTGAAATTCTGAAGCTCGTCGTTCATGACCGTCCACCACACACTTGGATCATTCGTAGCATTCACCTGGTTCTGGGGCACAAGCTTTCCGCGGGAACCTCCAGCGCGTATCTCAACCCAACTGATTCTGTTCTCAGCGAGCTTGTTGAACAGAAGCTGCCAGAACCTGCGCACGATGGGCTCGTAAGTCAGCATTGTACCCGCAGGTTCGAAGGCGGATTGGAACTTCTTCCAGATGTCGTCGACGCCGAGCTCGTGGTGCGTGGCTTCCTCTGGCAGGACCACCATCTTGCTCTTGACAAACTTGCGAAATTCTTTGGAACCACCGTCTGGGTACTGGTCGGCTGCAGCCTTGACATCCATGTAGATTTTCTCGTTGGTGGATGTGTTGTAAGGTTGGTACTCCGCCGCGTAAACGTTGGCAGGGTTGGCAGCGCTCTTGAAATCCTTACCACGGTAGGAGAACTCAAACTTGGAGTTATTGCGAGCCTCCGGGCTGTTGAGACTTTGCGATGCCCAGAACCCCATGTTTTCTGTCTCCATGACCACGTCTAGCAAGGCATCGTAAGGGAGCATGGCAGTCAGGTGGGCGTGCAACAACGCGCCCTTGGGCATACCATCGACGATCTTCCAGAGTTTCGTTTGGAGGATTGTCTCACGGGCCTTGGAGAACATTTCACCAGCGTAGCCACCATTTTGACGCCAGATTGTGTTGGTTTCGTTCAGTCGGATGGCTCTGGTGATGTTGTCTGCTTTCCCACAAACCTCAGAAAGGCTTTTCCTGAATTGAGCATCTACACTACCAATCAGCGATAACTCCGAATTAGTTTTCTACCAGGGGCATGACCTTGTCTCTCTGTATCCTCCAGTTGCATCAGAGCTGCACGCGCTGCCTCGTGTTGCTTGATGATGATGCTGTCCTTGGACGGAATCTCATAGACCCATTGCCGCGAGGCAAGGGCTGGTTTAGCTAAAGGGATTGCATAACCTAATGACGGAGAGGCAAAAGCCAAACCAGCTAGGAGACTGGAGAAATACATTGTGCGGCCGGCGCTCGAGGTAGTCGAAGGTAGTCTGGCGACTTGGGAAGGTTGTCATGATTTCGAGGTCAGGGCCGTCCCTTCCACTTATAGTCCTCCGGCCTGGGAAAACGTCCTCGGGAATTTTCATAAGAAACCGTCGTCCGTGAAACCAGAACACAGCTTACCGATTGACAGATTAGCCAGCACAGCATTAACCGATGTTTCCGCTTTCCCGCATTCTTCCCGTCTATTGTACTCTGATAATTTGATGCATCGCCCACCTCCGGCTGCGGGTCTCAACTGAGACAGACGTAAAGTCGCAAGCATGATACCCCGCGTGTTCATCTGGGTCTCCAGTCTGTCATATCGGTGGTAGTGTACAAGTCAAGCGCGCCAGCCGTGGTTTCCGTCGGGTCATTGAGACTGAGGCACCGTTTGCATGTTGAGATGCGGCCTTCCCTAGGGTTTGAGTCTCGCCGAGCTCCATGTGGCGGGCTGAGAAGTCGGAATAAAATGGCCTAAAGCGGTGAGTAAAAAGCGTGACAAGGCGTCTGCCCATGTCTAGGACATGCCCATTGAGACACGGGGTCTAATGCAGGTCTAGCCGCTTTAATTGTTTCTATGGTGAACTCCTCCATCTGTCGCTCACTACCTTGTTTCTTGCGAGATATTTCGAAAGACAGGAAGGTTCGTGAATGACAGATAGAAGTAAAGAGAGACCCAAAAAAAAAAAAAAGGAATCACCCTTTTCATGGCCCTCACGTGTTTCGAACGAGCGCCCCTCTCAGACTCAGATTGCATCTCTAGAGAAGAATTTGTTTGAGCTTTTGCTTTTACCAACTGGACCAAGTGGCCCAGTCGAACTGTTGAAAGAACACGAGACGAAAGCTGCCCAAGTACCTGACCTTGGTGCCTGGTGGAAGGAGCGGAGCTCACTGGTCGAGAGGGAAGGAGGCAGCTGCCAGTTGCGACTTCCTTATGAGGAGAGGTGAGCAAATTCCAGCTCGGAAAGCAAGGTCTGCACATATTGCCCCGCACGTAACAGGCAAGACATGCTTTGATCTTCCATTCGAGAACTCGAACCATGTCCTCTGGTAAATAGATCTATGACTAGACAGAAGGTGCGGAAGTAATCTAACAGCAGGCCAAGCCGGCTATCGGGTTCCAAGACCGTAGTCGAGGAGCATCGATTGGCGGACGTTGCACTCTGACAGCGGGTATCTCGTAACTCGGCATCATGCTGTTGACGTTCCGCGCCTGTACGATCTCGGGCCGGGCCCTGGCAGGAAATCAGATGAGCCGTGTCTCTCGAGCTACAGGTCTTGCTTCTTCCGCTCGGCTTGTCCCGCCGTCGGGGAATCTGGGCTGTAGCGGTCAACGGAGGTGCTGGTGTGCACCTGCTACTAACGACGATGTCTTGCCTTGCCCATATCAAGGCCGCAACTGGCCGTGAAAGTTATTGGTTTACGAGCAAGACTGGTCTGGGTAAGATCGCGACTATTCGGGCCGGCTGGTGAGTGATAAACTGCACAAGACATAAGATCCGGATTGGAAACCAGCAGTCACCTTGATATGAGAGCGTGAGAAGCTGCTCAGTTGCTGTAAGAGCTACACATCTGACCTCTGAGGCTTCCCAATCTTTCATGCGCAGCCGAGTGTTGGGAAAACCCCGCCGCCGAATTACCAAGAGTAAAGCAGCCGTCAAGCTGCTTCGAGTCTTGCGCTAGGTGGACCTTTGAGTTGACCTATGTGTGGCTCGATCTTGCTGTACTGCGTAGTATGCTCGTTTCTTATTCGCTTCTGTCGAGGAACCAACGGATAGATCTGTAGTACTACACTATTGCCGTGATTGTAAGATGAAGATGTTGTGCTCTCTTTCCGGTTCCCTTCACCAAAGCCGGATCGTTACAATTGCTCTCATTACGCATTCTGTTTACGTCACACAACAAGCTGTAGACACGAGACTCTTGCTAATGTGTATCGGTGTGATCTCCATCTTGGATGGTGATGTGCGTGTCAACGAATCTGCAGTATTTGTCAGTGCGACGAACCACTAGGCAATAGG